TGTTCTGCTAGCAAAACCTTCTAGACATAGCTGGAGCATGATATTTCTATTCACCTTTAGTTTATTTTCATTCACTAAAGCAACTTCATGTCAATTGGTTTAGGGTTGGTTTCACTCACAGATCTGACATATCACAAAATCTATCAGTTTTAACTTCTTGTATATTAACCAGAAACAATATATCTCACTCTTGTACTCTGACAGGCATATAATATGACCTGCTCAGCCATTAAAGAGCTGAACTGACCACCACACTTTTTAGTGCATGCTGTTTGTTGCACTCCCCTATGTCAGAGGCCAGATCTGACTTGAGCTTCTCATTTCTTGAAACTGCCGCTACAGTATTCACTTCCTGCTGTTGGCTCTCTTGAACCTGTTGCATCACTGGTCAGAAACGATAGGCTTATCTACCTTTCTGCTCAAAAATGTATGGGTAGTTTACTCAAAAGTGATTCAATACTCCATTGGCAAAGCACTTGCTTCTCTCCTTCCTTCCAGGATGCCATCCTGGTGAAGGGAAGCAGCATAGACACCACAAGAGAACTGGGACAGCTCTGCCCATTCACTGGATACTAGTGTGGTTGCAACAATGTGCAAGGATGGTCAATGCTTGGCTTGGCTTTAACCTGGGTTTGTCTGAGGTGAACCTTACTTCAGCTGCAGCTACAAACATATTTCTCTCTTGCAATTGACTCAAAGTTAAAACCTAATGCTACAATGCAACAGGTCTGACTCAGTAATAACTGTCTTGCAGTTCCACAGTTGCTCCTTGTTCAAGTGATCATTGGAGTTAAGGGCCAGACTGTCTAAACTCAGAACCAGGCATTATACAGTCTGTTCTGGAATCAAGCCATTTTTGGTTACCTGCCTGAACAATTCAGAAAATGGTCCAGATCTTTCTTTGCTGTACCCTTAATCCTATGTGTAGGACTGAGTCAAAATGTTACATTCTAATTATACAACTTTATCATTTTATTATCAGTTATGTTCAATAAACTTGGCATCAAAGCATAGTTCATAATTCAACATTTTATACAATCTAATATTTAATTTCTTAGTTTCAAAAGGAAATATCAAAAATATTCTCAATCTTCACTTCTCAACAACATGTGACATATAATGGCTGGAGACGGCTTGAATGGGTAATGAAGAAAACTTT